CAGATTTGTTCAGTGGCTTTATTTTATGTGTATTTGATAACATAAATATTAAATCATACCCAAGGCAGCTTGGTTGAGTGTACATAATATTAGTTGATTGTTCAGCAACCATCAAAGGATCATATTCCATTGGTATTGAGAAATTTGTGCACGCGGTAAGGAATTATTTACCCATATAAATTAATAATTATATAAGAATAAAATCTAATATTATTAATAATCAGTGGTACTACAAAATAGTATCTATATTCTGTACCAAATAAGAATGCACCGGGCGTAGCACAAAAACCAGACGAAACACATGCATGACAGAGCGCTACCGCAGCGTGTGGCTAGAGTATCGCAGGGTAGAGTGTCGGAGGCGAATACGGCCAACTAAGGGTGACCAATGACAGAGCGAATAGACTCAGCCAGGGGGTCCGGACGTCACTCCGCGATTCATTTGGATGCGCCAATGTGGTGCACTCTTATTTGGTACAGAGTATATATTAATGTTATGGCTATAGGCTAATTTGTTGTAATAATGATTGATTTATAATTATATTTTATGTTTTATTAGATATACTACATCTGATGCATCCATAACTATTTGTAATAACATTAAGCTGCAAATGTGAAGAAGATCATATTGAAGGAATATTATTCAACAACTTTTCAGAGTACAAAAATCCTGTTAACTTTTTGGCTCTATCAACATTAAACAGTATCAACTTGTTCAATTTCAAATCTTACTCCATAAATACAGGTACCTAATTTAAGTAATCAATTTATAATTTTTTCCAAAACATAAAAAAAGTATATAGGTTTTTAACACGTTGACGGACATGACTGCTATAGCAGTTATGCAAATTACTGTAATTCGGTAGTCACTCTGATTTGGCATAATCCATAGATTTTTATATATTTTTAGAATATTTGTTTTTGTTTTTTTTGCCCTAATTGTTAGTAAGTAACAATAGGACACTAGATAATTTCCAATGTGGTGAAGCCACAAGAAACGCAACTGCTCTGGGCAGTCATGCCATTTTACGACTTTTAATATAAAACTGCTATACTAGTCATGGTCATATTACGACTTAAATCAGTATGACTGGTTTAGCAGTTACTGTCCGTCAACGTGTTTTAAAACTAAAAACAATTCATAACTTTAACTTTTATACACTAATACTTGCATCTTTATAGTCATCAGTTTTCTTTATAAAAAATGATGACATTATTAATTGTTATAAAACAGTAGATAGGATACTGTATGCTTAACACAAGCAAGTGTAGTGCTCTTAAGACAAAACTGATAAAAAAACAATACATTCCACATATACTATATACTATATACCATTAAGGGGGCTCTAGTTTATGATGTTTTAAAGAGTAATATTTAAGCAATTCATATGACATGGACATTTGGACTATGTCTATGTGTGAGTAATAAATGTGTGTTTTCGAAAATCGCTTTAATGCCGCGACAGCAACCACCACCTGATCCAATACAACTCTTGCACGCTCACGCGCATATCAATACTTTGTAAAATTCAAATATATTCTTGTTTGCATAACTATAAAAACTACTAAAAGCGGTAACAAATTAAACATAATCCTGAAGTTTGATTGTAATTTTGAAAAAATGGATGAATTTATAATCTTCTAGACTATGTTCTTTAGGAATTATTGGATTGATTTAAAATCAGGTACTCCAAATAAATACAAATTTAATGCAGTTATTTCATGGGATTTTTGAAAAAAAATCTTAATTTTAAGGTCCCTTAAAATTTAAAATTGATTTCCTAAAGAGCCTAGATATTTTGTCAAAGAGTTAATACATGTATAAAAAATTTAAATTGAACATTCCGAAGTATGTGTAATTTGCCACCGCTGTTTGGTCTAAAATGTGTGAAAAATATGTGTGCTGCGATCCCCTTAAATATTATTAAATATATGTCTACGTAAGTGGGATTTTGTTATTTAGTTTAAGTGCGATATTCCTTAGTGATGCAGCCTGCCAAAATCAGAAATGATACCTTATCACTCAATTTTTATATTTAACACATTCTTATAAAATTATGTTGATGGAGAATGGAGATCAAAGTATTTATTATGTGAATTGTTGTGGTTAAAGTTTTAAAATTTGTTTCTCTTACTATAGCATGTTTCTTTTATTTTTTTTATTAATTTAAATTAATTATAACGAGGTCCATTATCGGTGTATGGATATTTAATGTGATAAAAAGTACGAGAATATGCAGACTCAAATACATCGGATCTAGATACAATATACTTTTGAACACACTTAATTAACATTACATTTTAAAATCTTATTAATTTTTTTATGATTTTTATAAGGCTTGTTAAGCCCTGTGTCTACGTAACTGTATACAAATGTGTGCATGGTAACTAGAAATACTGATCGCATTGATTTAACTATATCTTTTTGCTAATACATATTTTTTAAAATATGTTAATCTCGCTTTATGCAATATACAAATTATTTTAAATTGCAATCCCTAGTTTTGACCAACAATGCTTTTGTCACAATTCATGTTCAAAAAATGGTAGAATAATATTGAATATAATTTATGTGGATGACATAATATACAATTGATGAGTTTTTAACTTAAGTTATGATTATACCCAATCACATTATTGTTACTACTAATATCATTATTTAATTATCAGTACATGTTAACCGACATATTAAAGTACAGTTAAAAACAATATTAATATACAGATTGTTATTCAAATTGTTGTCATATATTCTTTAGTTTCTATATCACATTTTTATTTAACTTAAGAAATAATTGTGAAGTAATCAAAAGAATTTAGTAAATTGTGCATGTGCTAAACTGCCTAGTTAATCATGTGACTTATTTGATTTTTTGCCAAAAATTATAGAAATATGTTTTATTGGGCTTTGAGTATTTCTAGTTATTGTGGTCACAATATGTATATATATTTTTTTTTATTTAAATTATAAATCTGTGTTAGTAAAAAAATTTTCATTTAAAATTTGTAATGAAATCTTATTTTTTCAACTATAAAACAATTATTTATTTGTGTTTTAGAAAATAATTGTATTAACTGTAAAGCACTATAGAGATTTACAATTTTGAAAAAATGCGTTTTTAAATAATAAGTAAGTAATATATTATAGTTATAGTACTTTTACCAATTGCTTTAGAATGTATATAGTATATATGCTGTATGCTGTATGCTAGTATTTATAATCAATGGTATTATGTATGTATAATAATAATGCATGTTTTATTAGTAAATTATTTAACGATAGTAGTTTTGATATTATTATTATCATAACCCACATCATGTAATTTTATAATTATCCATATCTTTAAACTAGAGTAATAATATGCAAACAACTTGAAAAAATATTTTATATATTAAAATTTAAAACAAAGCCAGTTATAATAATTATACATTATTAAAAATAGTATTTTCAGAATAACAAAACAAAAACTAATTCAATTTATTTATATTCTTTTTTACATTAGTTAGATTACAGAGAATAATGTTTTTGAATTGATATGGTATATACTCTATTTTCGTTTTTACCCTTGAAAAATATACTATGATTATCCATCATAAGACATATAAATACAAACAAAATACCAAAATTTGTAATATACCCAAATCCCTGTTTAGTAATTTTTCCTAGAAGATCCACCTTAAATAATATTAAAATTTCAATAACTAATCTTGATTTTAATATATTTGTATTCAAAAGCTATCTGAAGAAATCTCCTAACTCTATTGAAATTTCTAAGGGGGGGGGGGGGGGGGGGGGGGGTTAAGTTCCTCTAAGCCCCCTCTGATGTCCACCTAAGGTTTTTTCAAATATTTATAACCCTCTGCTTGAAAATGTTAAAGTTGATACTTAATGTGGTTTGGTAATATATGTTTGTGACCTAAATTATAATTTATAAGTAACTAACAATATTCATCAACATAATAATTGTAAAAAGTAGAGCTAGGAACTTCAACTAAATGCCTTAAAAATGTAGCATAATAATATTAAAAAATGCTTAAAATGCTCTCAAAAAATTGTATTGTCTCATTAAAGACAAAAAAATTTAAAAATTAAATTAACTTGTATTTCTTTTTCTTTTTTTGTGCTTATCGGCTAACTAACTTGACATGCTTTTCGGTTTTAAGGTGCTGCACAGTTTACAATATAGTACTGATGGATCGATTAGATAAAAAACACCAAGCTTCTGAATTCTGAAACATATGACTGTAGGCAATACGACTATATGTATTTATTTTTACTTGTACGTTATTTTCTAACAAGATAATATAAATGCATTAGAGCTCAAAGCTTTCTATAATAAACAATATTTTACATAATTTTTTGTTTCGTAGCTAATTTTATTTAAAAATTTAATTAATTTTTATTTTGTACATTTGGACAAATATAAGCTAAAGAACACTTTTGAAATAAATAACAACAAAATATGATTATTAGTTATTAAACAGCATAAAAGAAATAACATTAAATGTATTAAAATAATGTAAATATAAGTTTCAAAAATGTAAACTTTTAATCGATAAATCCTATTAAAATGTACCTATTGGCCATCACAATATTAAACCATTTTACGAATTAGTTTCTTATAAATATTGGTATAATATATATATGGTATTATATTATTTTTCAATAATAGTCCATTAACCTTTATAGTTTTAATCCAAATGATTTAATAATAAATAACTATAGCTTTTTTTAAGAAAACCAAATTTTTGTTTTTTTTTTCGTATGTTAATATTGACTTGTGTGTCAATATTTTTAATTGGTGTTAGTTTGGTATTAATATTAGTTTTATTAAAAATAAAATATTTTTAAGCTTGTGTCATATTTGCTTAGTTTGTATTTGTATTTTTATAATCTATCGTTAGCTTACTAAATATATTATTTACTTTTATTGTTTCAGAGAGAAACTCACATGTGATTAACGACTAACATTAAAGGACAGATGTAAATAATTATGTTTAAAATGCGTAGTAAGAGGAACCTCGAGACAAAGAAGCACTGGTCGTGGGCTGATAACACTCATCCTGATGACATTAACTCTACTCATGTAAATAAAGCGTTTTTGCTGTTACTCGCCAGATGTAAACCTTTATCTAACCATCGCCATTATAACAATCCATTCTGCCTATCTGGACTAGGTGAACAACGTTGGCTTCAAAACAAAGTCATCCCAATTGAAGTCCCAGAGCTAGAGCGTCGACAAACAAATACTTTCTGTGGTTTGAAAAACTTAGGTGCAACATGTTATATTAATAGTCTCCTCCAGTTATGGTTTCATAATTTAAATATTAGAAATGCAATTTTAAGTTGGAATCCTGAGGAGGATGAAATTGAGAAGAATAATCATACTCTATGTACTGAAAATATATATGAGCCAGTGACTGCTGTGGGTCAACTACAATTAGTATTTGCGTTAATGCAATTTGGAAAAGAACAAACTGTAAATCCAGAAGGGTTTATTAAGTCTTTAAAAATCGATACAAGTATTGAACAGGACGCTGAAGAATTTTCCAATTTGTTACTAACAACACTGGAAAGCAAATTTGAAAAACAAACAAATGTATTCGTCAAAAATATGGTGAAAAATAATTTTTTAGGTGAATATCAGAGTGTAATTACATGCTTGACATGTAAATTAAAATCATCCAGGTGTTCAACATTTAGAGATCTCAGTTTAAACATTGAGGGTCGACAAACTTTAAATGACAGTTTGGAAGATTACTTAAAAGAAGAAGTTCTCGACGGGGATGACCAATATTATTGTAGCCGTTGTGAAGGAAAACAAAATGCTGTGAGGCAAATGTGTTTGACTGCATTACCTTCAGTGTTAAATTTTCAACTAATGCGTTTTGTCTACGATAGACAATCAATGCAGAAGAAAAAACTAAACACGTTTGTAAAATTCCCACAAACATTAGACATGGGGCAATATTTAAATTTACCCGATAAACCCAATATGTCTTCAGAAGAAAATTATAACTACAATTTATACGCAGTGCTCATACATAAAGGTCCTAGTGCAAATTGTGGTCACTATGTTGCCCAGATCAAGGATAACACAACAAAACAATGGTACCAGTTTAATGATGGTAAAGTAGACAAGCTCATTCTTAAAGGTATAAATTTATGTACCGATGATTCTAAAAAATTTAAATCGATGAAAACCAACAAAAATTGCGTTGATGAGTTTCAATCAAATGATGCATATATGCTGGTGTATATGAAAGGTACAAAGGCTGAAGAACTGAATACCGAATCAACCACCTGTGAGTTGTCACCTAGATTGTCTCAATTGGTAAATTTTCATAACAACAATTTTGAAAATAAAATATTAGAGAGTAAACAAGGTAAAGTATTTGTGGAACAAATGTTGGATTTAATCAATGAAATGAAACATAGTCAAGTAAAAGAAAACGAAGGAGATATTATCTCGTTACAGTGGTTAAAATATTGGTTGAAATTGAATCCTAATGAGAATGTCGAGAAAATAAACAACGATCCAATTTTATGTAAACATAACTTACTGGATCCAGATAAAGTATTTGAAGCCAAATACATTGGATCAGACTTTGCAGATAAACTGTATCGTATGTATGAAGGGGGTCCAAGATTGAAGTTAATGTCATCATTATGTCAAGTGTGCGTTAGGAACAAATGCGCTTTAATGTATTCAAGAACTTTAGCTGCTAAACATAATGAATCTATCAAATCAGTCTTAAAAAATTGGTCTCCAACTAATAATTCAGACAGCGAAAATAAAGAAACATGTTACTGGGTAGGCAACAAAACAATGAAATTCTGGCAAAGAAATTATTTTGAGTCATTTCAAACATTTCTCAAAAAAAAAGACGTACTTCCTAATACAACATTTCCAATCAGCCATGAAACGTTGTCCGCAGTATGTGAACCATCTACCATATGGGAAGAAATTAATGTCAACGGAGAAACAAACAAAGAAAATGTCAATATGGTCAAAGACACAGAAAATATGATTAAACCTGTTAATGATTGTTGTAGAGAGGAGTGGGATAACATTTTTTTTCAAAATACATGCCTCGAGGAAATATATCAGAACGATGGTTACAATTTTTTGCAAATCGCAAATAATACTGAGCAGGTTCCGTGGGTATTTAATGGTGACATTATATGCATTCATGGGAATATGACTATTGAGAAAAATGCAAAGACATTAGTGCCGGAAAAAGTAAAAAATATGTTTCAAACTTATTTTCCAAAAGCATCATTGTTTGTTAAAGGGACCATACAGTGCCACATGTGTAGGTGTGTGCATATTCGGGTTATGATATGCAGGCTTACGCGTATAAATCTGGCCAAGGTAGAGGGTTTTTTTTTAAATGATTTTCTGAGGAATGAAAACAGATGTGTTTTTCCAATACGTTCCCCATACGCATGTATTTCTATGAAATTTTTAGAAGCTTTCCGAAAGTTTGTCGGATTTCCATTAAAAGAACCAATCCCCAGGTTGATCAAGAATAAAATACTGCTTTGCAATGACCACAATAAATTGCTTTATCATCCAATGTCGAGTTTGAATCCAACACATCATGACTATAATAAAATGGTGCTTGTAACAATGGAAGAATGGGAAAGGCTTTTACTGTGCTATGATGCCGATTTTGAAATATTTGTGTTCTTTGATGATCAATGCTTGTTTAAATCATCATACCCAGAATTATGTGGAACTTGTTGTGAGAAGAAACTGCATGAGGATAAAATGAATCATTTGAAATACAATGATGCACAAATATTCATCCAAGTGATCAATATTGAAGATCAGAATTTGATGTCTGGCAACTGCTCAAAGAAATTCAAACTAGACACTACTGTGTCTGTGAATGACACTAGTGGCTCGGATACAGCCTCCACTTCAAAGAACAGTAACAATCAAGCATCTCAGCCCGGAACCAGAAGGAGTGAACGGAAACAAATGCCAAAGGTTGAGTCAGTTATAGTCTCTTCCGACAGTTCGTTGCTTCATCTCAAATTAAAGATCATGGAAGTATTTCATGTTAAGCCCGACAATCAATGTTTAAAAACACCAGATGGAATAGAGTTGCTGAACGATGAAGCAACCATGGAAGACCTTAAAATCCTTCCTGATTCGGTGATACTAGCACAATTTGATGAACAAGTAACACTTATGCCAGAAGTTGTTATTGCAAAAGAGACGGGGTTTAAAGGTACTGAACTCATGAGTTCAAATTTCTGAATTAGTTAAATTAATGTATACTTATTTTTATATATTTCTTTAAGTTTTATACGATTATAAATTGCCAGTTTTTATTTATTGTTAGCTTATTTAATTGTATAAATTGTGTATATTATTGTATATAAGATGTTATTTGTGTATTATTCAATACATTATCCTTTATACATAAGGTTTGTAAAAATGTATAATATACATATAGATATATATATTTATTTCTCAACAAAATAATTAAGTTAATAATAATTAATTTACTATAATGCATGTGTCTATTTTTGATAATTTATGGTACGTAATAATTTTTATTTTATCATCAAAACTATTTTTTTAAATATAAAATTTTTGTATTCTGTATGCTTTATTGTTTCAATTTTATATACAGATATTTTTTCAAAATAAGAATTCTCCTGATTATAATATTATTATAAAATAATATTATGGTGTATTTAAGCTTGTTAGGAAACTACCTAACAAATAAAGTATAATATGTATTCTACTCAAATAAATACTTTAAAACACCATTGATGACATTATATTTATCACTTAATGTCACTAAATTACTACTGAGTTATGTGAAAATGAATGTTTTGAAAACACTAAGATCAGAATTTAAAAAACCGCCCACTGATATGTGTAAATAATAAATATTTATAGTATGTCATAAATTGTGCAAAATATTAATTGATTAATTTAAGAGGACGTTACACTGATAGAATATATGAACGCTGTTAGGGGTTTTCATGATCTACAAGCGCGCAACATTTTTTGAAAATATTCCAATTATGTTCACAGAAAATGTTCACTTAAATAATGCTCTAAAATATGTTTAATATGTTTTTGTTTTATAATGCAAAAATTAAACATATAATTATGTGATTGTATTAATAATATTAATACCATTTCTACATTGGTTTTAAGACAAATATATTTTAAGTGTGTTTCATGGCAAAATGCAACTAAAAGATTTAAAAAATCTACATAGCACAATAATAGTATTTGGTTAATCTTGACACTTTAATTTACTCCTATTTTTTATTATTTTGAAGACAATTACAATTTTTTTTACATAGTATATTTATTAATTATTAAAACAAACACAAATAATTTTTATAATTATGTTATTTATTCCAATTACCTAGGTATCACATTAAAATTTTGATTGAAAAGTATACCTTTAATTTTCTTTTTACATTGACTATTGACATTAACATCATTGAAAACTAATAATTTTGCAATTTAATTAATAACAATAATAATTTTAAAAATATGATAACTTAGATGAAAAAAGATTTTTTAATACATATTACTCTAACAGTAGTAGTTGTATTTTAACTTTTTTAAAATTGAATGAATTCATAATTATTATTAGATTTTATTTTAAGTATTAGGTAGGTATGTATTATCAAGATTCAGGACAACTCTGACAACTTCATGAAAAATAGAGTGTTATTTCAATTCTCAATTTATGATTAAAGAATCGAAATAATATACCTTCTAATATTAGTATCGAAAATACTCTCATGTAGCAGTGAAACCTTTTTCACATTTTGTCCTCTATTTGGAAGCACCCATTAGAGGGGAGGTTTGTTAATAACTCACTACTCAAAAATGAATTTTTTTTTTTGTAGATATTAATCTTTGGCCAATTGTATTAACTAACCTATTTATCCAATAAAATGTATGAAAACATATTTTTATTTGTCATGAAATTTACTTAAAAACCACTTATGAACATTTTTAAATAATTATTTTCACTTCAATATTATTATAATTTTAAAATTATCAACTCTCTTGAAACTAAAATGTTGATGGGTTTGAGAGTTGAGTTTTAAAAAATCGGAAAACTCGTTTTTATGTAAACTTCAATGACTTGAATTGGATAGTTGGTAAAGTTGTTATCTGATAAGTTAGGTCATATAAGTTTATTATATATGGAAACTCGGGATTGAATCCCCTTAACGAAACTAAACGATACGATTAACATAACGGTAACACCAAATGATCATACAAAACGAAAATATCAATGCCTTGACTGCCAATGTTTCGTCTGTTTTTAGTTTTATTAGTTAGGAGGTACGTTTTGATTAGTTTTAGACGCGATGAATTTGTATTAAAGCGAAATAACTTTTCGCTTCGCTAATTAATGAAATTCTTGACTTTTTTCGAAACGTTATAGGAATTTGTGTAGGTACTTTCAGAAAAGTTTTGAGTTGGAAAATGCAGAAAATCACCTGGTGGAATCCCTTTAACCAAAATTAATTTACTTAACCTTGCGCAGCATATATCTAACACTTTTATACACTTTATGAATTTCAAAAATGTATCTAGCCCCTCTAAATAGCGGACAAAATATCGGCGGGTGAGTGTGTCCACTATTCGGAGGTTTCACTGTGTATAATATTATTATATGAAGGGTAGAAAAACAAAACGTACTATTGCCAAAATGTATAAAATCGAGTCAGACATCGATTCTTACATGATGGAAAATAACGTCGATAAATCATTTCGAATCTTCAGTTTAGGTCAAAAGTATAATATTTCATAGTCCGAGCCTAATTTAAAAATTAATGAATGCAAAATAATAGTTTCACCTTTGAAGTATCTGTTACATGGTTAGACTAGCTGGTAGGTAGATGAGACGAAGTATGTGCTTGGAATGCATTGTCCTAGAGTTCCCAAATGCACTTTGCATTGAAATCCGGACCCTACTGGCTACTATAACACCCCACAGTTGTTATATTATTCTTCCCAGTTACAACTTACACCATATTTTTTTTATTACCCAACTCCGATATGTATTACTTTTACAAACAACTTTTGAACATGAAATCAAAAATTAATTTTTCAATTTTTTTTATTGCTAAAATTTTAGGCTTATGATTGGAAGAAGAAAGTTTTCAACATTTCGCAGTAAATCGCACTACATTCAATTTCTTTATCCGGAACCAATAACTTTGAAGGTATATAATGTGGCGACATGCAAAATCATCACTTTCACAATACTGCCCAATAAAAAATGTCTTCGGCGATTACACGGCTAAAAAGCTAGTGCTTATGACACGTCTTCGTAATCGTAAACTGAGCTTTACCCAGTTTTTTAAAAAAGCTGACGAACTTAATGATCCGTTATTGAGTAAAGACTTCAAAAATAACGACGACGACGACGGTTCTGATTGTAGTTCCGAATGTTCTGATACACACACGACTGATACTATGAATACTTGTTTGTAAATTCAAAATTATTATATTTCAATTATACTTTTTAAGTACTTTTGTAATACATTTAATTAATAAAAATGTAAAAATTATATGAATTTTCAATGTGTTATAATTTTAAGACTAATGATAATTTGCTCAAATTTATATAGACACCGTTCGTTTTAAAACGTTGATTTACATAATATTATATAGGTTTTAAAAATAAAAAAAGTTCGAAATTCAAAGTGTATTTTGTACTGTTTGAACCCTTTACCCATGATTACAGTAATTTACAGTGTTTCTTAACGGCAGTGCACTACCTACGACTAAAGCTACATTATTTATTGTTATGGCACGGTACGGACCACTACAGGACGACAAAATATTAGTATATGTAAATATTAGTATATTAGTACCTATATGAGAAAAAAAAAAATGAATTAGTAATTACTAGGGCAGAGGACTTGTAGCATTTGCAAATTCGTTTTGCTGAGTCACAAAAATAGCAGAGTATAAAACAAATACGTTTCATGCTTACTCAAAACTAGTTTTGAAATGGTATATTTTGCATATATAAATGCATATTTTGAGTCTTTTTTGTTTTTAGGGCATATTTTATACTTTTTGAAACATATTTAATTTAAATCAATTTTTAAAAAAAAAACCTTAAAATGTTATTAAAAATGAAAAAAATTAACTATTTAAATTGAAAGTGTCTAAAAATTCAAAATAAAAACTTCTTTTACTGATTCAAAAATACATGAAATATTTTTGTTATAAAACATCGTATCCGATTCGCTTTGGAAAACAATGCAAAGTGCCAAAGTGCATAGAAAATCCAGCTCTAGTTATTACAGTTATAAATATTAAAATTACAACTACAAATTACAATATATCATAACTAAAGACCGGATTTATATGTTTTTACATATCGTAACTGGGTCTATGCAGTCTTATGAGAGTAAAAAATGTGGACGATTCGTTCAATTCGGAATGGGTAGAAAAAAGTTTTTTTTGCATATTTGAGAATATTTCATGGGTTGGAGAATATTTAACCCATTTAGCATATTTTGGAATATTTCGTAAATTGTGAGCAAAAATTTGTATTTATTTTTATTAATTTTAATATTACGGTACTCTGAAAAAATTTTTTTGACCATTTACAATATATTTTTTTTTTCATTTTGATAAAAATAAAACACTCAGTATTATCAAGGTTTATCTATGTATATCTACTGATAAGATCAACTTTTAAGTTTATCAATTATTCAAATATCAAAATTTTTTTTTTGTGTTTTAATATTACCTATAATGTTATATTTATATTATATTCCAACTTCTTACTCTTGCTAAAGTGCAATACTATTCCATTATATATAGAGTATAGGTATAATATGCAACTCTTAATATCTAATTAATATCTCACTATAAAAATATAGTTGAAAATAAAATTTTAAAAAATAAATGCATATTAAAGCATATAATGATGTTTTTTGATTATTTTTGCATATTTTTTAAATTTTTAAGAGAATATAATGAGAATATTTGAAGGTTTTTTAGAGAATATTAGCATCATATTTTGGGTATATAAGAGAATATAAATCCGGTCTTTAATCATAACATTATCTAAAATTTCACATATTCTGGAAAAAAGTATAATTTTTTAATATATAAACGGTAAAATAGTTATAAAATATTTGGAATACTTGTATAGTGTTTTAAAATTTAAATACCTATTTTATTTGGAATACTATTTTTATGAAGTATTCGAATACCTACATAATCGGAATAGGTACCTTCTGTTTTTCATAAATAAGTTTATTTGAGTATATTTATTCCTAATACTTTTAAAAAATATTTTTCCCAAGTTTGCTGTTCACGACTCGTCAGGTGGTCAATTTTAATTGCTCGCCGCCAATAGAAATTTTGCCACCTGCTGCGAGATGATTCTCGAAGCTTCGCGGTAACCTCATTACACGGCAGCGTGAAAGCTAAAATTGGTAAATGGTAACGCAGCCGCCGAATTTGGAGTCTGTGACTTGTATATCATTGAAATAGTACACTTGTCACCGTTTATTAATAATAGTACGTTTTTTACGACCAGTTTATTATTGGCAACTTCTAAGTAGTATTTATGTATTGAAAACTATATAGCTACACGACATGATACGTCTTACTGCAAAGTGTCATAAGTCTAGAGGTCGGATTTTTATGATTTTACATATTTGTTTCTAGTCTATGCAGTTAAATGGGAGTGAGAAATCTTTACGATTCATGAAACACAGAATTCACAGGAAAAAATTTATTTTGCATAAAAAAGCATATTTTAGGGGTTAGAGAATATTTAACACGTTAGAGAATATTTGAGAATATTTTTCTAACATCGGCATATAATGAACATATTTCACTTATATCAGCACTTTGATAAATACAATGTTCACTAAATGATTTTTTTCTGGGTTAATAAAAATTAATCTCCATGTATTCCTCATCGATTGCGATAGCACATCGGTTATTTCGTTAGCTAGTCACGACTATATATACAAGAACATTCTTACAAACCGACGTACTAAAATGACACCGGAACACATGGAACAATATATAGTTATTAATTGTTATTGTAAAATTAATTGAATTAAATATATTTAAAACCAAATTAATAAAAAATAAATTTAAATAATAAATAAATAATAATTTAAAATAATAAATAAAATATAATTTTTTTTTTAATATTAAAAGAATATTTTGCATATTTAAAGACATAAAACATCATATATCTGGTATTTTAAAAGAATATTAAGACAATATATTGGCTATTTTATGTGACATAAAAACATCATATTTTAAGGATTTTAAGAGAATATAAATCCGACCTCTAGTCATAACAGCCTACAGGCAATAATAATATAGTTTGATAACCAAAAAAAATAAATATTTTTCTAAAATATTAATAAAAAAAAATAAAAAATATTTTTTTTAATTAAAGTTTAAATATGCAGAGCTACCGTTAGCGGGACTAAGAATTATGACGGGGGGGGGCTAAAATGTATGTTTTTAGCCCCCCCCTTAGTTACGCCTATCATATCTACATTATTGGTAGTTATTAACAAGTACCTATGTTATTAAATTACAATGCACATAATATTACTTTACTCTGCAGTTACTGAGTAATAATAAGATAATATTTAAATTAATGGTTGCCATTGGTTACTCGGCAGATCAGATACAAGCATGCATCAAATTGTGGCCTAAAACAAAGAAACTTCATCTTAAAACCAAATGTTTGTGTAATTGTGTGTAACTATTATATATAGGTACTCGAAAACTACTGAAATGAATTTTACGAAAATCTCAGAGATTCTTTTTAGAGATGTTAGAAAAGTTTGGATAGTAGTTTAAGCCATATCAAAAAATATAGGTACCAAGTGATAAATCCAATCCGTGACTTGCGGTTAGGTACCCATCTATGTCGAATTATTTCGCAAAGCTAGGTATACTATACGGATATAGGTACACTGAGATACACCTATATTCATATAGCGTATATACCATTTAGGATTTACTACAAAAGTGACTGGACACGGGCAAAGTCAGGATATACTCAATAGAAAATCGTGAAAATACATAATATTTTATATAAAACTAATACAATTTTTAGTCCTCGAACTTATATTTATATTATACTGATTTTCGCCAGATGTGATTTTTCCTGGGAAACGCCGAATGATGGGACAGACGACAATTAGTACATATATGATAAATAGGGCTGGGATTTTGATGCAAAGGCTTCTTTTTTTCTGATGTTTTGAAACGTTGATCCGTAAGTATAAAATGTGTTTTGGGTGGTACTGATTATTTTAAAGTATTTTTTATTATGCATTTTTTGCATTTTTTGACAAAATTAACTTTAAAATGCATTTTTAGGAAATTTTTTTTATGTTTTTAGTGCATTTTCTTGGTTTTTAGAGCATTTTTACAATTTCTTCATAAAATGAACGAAAATTGTTGCGATTCACAAAAAACTTTCAGCAAACTGCTGACAGTAAGAATAATAAATTATATATAGTATTATATTTCATCATAGCTAGGCTTTTCCCCGAAAATTATCAGTTATCACCGTTATATTACACCTATTATGAATTATTATTTTTATTACACCATACATACATACATACATATAGGTACAAGTTATCGTCGTTAACAATTTTATCATAGCTAGGCTTGGATAACTATTACTGAATTAGTAACCAATTAGTACGTCTGTCGTCGTAGTCTCGATAGCATTCGTTGTGTTTCGTCGTGTCGTGTTTTTCGTGTGATTCATAAGTTCAATATGCCGAAAGTAAAAACGTCGAAATCAAATCGATTAACGAAATATGTGAATGACTTCGGTAATTTTTTTTTCTAATTTTTAACTTATAATAAATATAATTTAAATGCATTTTTTTCGTGCATATTTGAGTTTTTTAAGTCATTTTTGCAATTTTTTTAGGGCATTAAAATCCCAGCCCTAATAATAAATAAAACAAAAATAATCCGTCTTTAACAATAAGATGTTCATCATTATAGATTCCTCAGCATCAAATGGTATTTATAAAATGTAGTTAATTTAATAACATCTTTCTTCTTTGTCAATTATTGTACATGACTTTAATTGGGCAGGATATCAATTTGACCAATATCTTCAAGATTGGCATTTATTTTTACTAACTCTAGTTAGTTCACCTTCGTATGTTTTACTTATCAGTTATTTCAACTGTGTTTTTTTAATTTTAGGTACCTATTGAAATATTGGTACTCGTCCAATCTACCGTAATTTCATGATAGTTTAGTATGATATCTACCGTATGCTGTATATTATGTATACTTTATCATTTTGCAATTAAGATTTAAGATTAAGCTTTTATTGAAACCCCAAATTATATTATATTTATAACTTAGTAAGTTAGGTAGGTATATCTTTATATTATACCTGATTAGTGTGTGTTTGTGAGTCGTGTCGATTATACCTATACGTGGTTTTACTGTGATTT